TTCGGATTGTGCAGCGGGAGTGGTGCAAGTGGTCCGATTCGTATAACTTCGTATAATGTATGCTATACGAAGTATTACGCTCGGTGCGTCCAGCCTCCTGGCAGACATCCTCCCCTAGCACCATCTGCGACACCCCTCACAACCTTTTTTTTTTTTTTTTTTTTTTTTTTTTTTTTTTTTTTTTTGGGGAAACAAAGGCTCCGTCTATTGGTGGGGAGCAGCACCTGCTGGAAACCAGGTCCAGCGTCCCTTTCACAAAGAGTTAGTATAAAAATTTTAGAGAGAGCTTGGAACAATTTAAGGAGGAAAAGTCCTTCGGGACATCCGTTAAAATTGGAACGATACAGAGAAAGCAAAGATTAGCATGGCCCCTGCGCAAGGATGACACGCATAAATCGAGAAATGGTCCAAAAAAAGAAGAAAAAAAGAGGACAAGCATGACTGTGCGACACTGTTTCGTCGAACTTTCACTGACTCATCAGGAGGTTGAACCCCGACAAACAGTCTGCCCAGGATGTATTTGGCTGACTGTTGGAGAAGGAGACTCATCACGGCACCTGGAGTTCACGATACCCCTGTGAAACGTGGTTGACGTTACTCACACCAACCCAGGGGCCAGGGCCTGCAATCCCAGCAAACTGACGGTTTAAACGCCTGTCAGTGACAAGAATGGCGGTAAGTCTGAGAAACTAGTCTATTAGAGCCATAAAACCCCACTCTACACACCCACTCACCCAGTGGGTGTGTATATTTTCACCACAACACAACAACCCCTGTTCCACCCAGATGAGTAGATCCAAAATCAAAGCAGCTTTACGTCTTTTGCAGACACAATGAAGCACACTCGCGATGAACCAATCGAACAATGAAACAGATTTACGTCTATCGCAAGCAATGTGGAGCAAAATAGATCCGTTGTATCCCTTTCTTGTCTATCTTTACGTCAGGCTTTAGCTTTCTTAGAAGTAAAGAGCATTTACTTAGAATCGGTGACCAATTCTCCTATTCGCAGCCAGGAGACCAGTGTATACTACCACTTACCTTAGGATGTCATGTACATGCTGGGCCCGGTTCCCAGCACGTGATGCTCCCCACGAATAGATTGGAGCAATTAAAAAAAAAAAAGAAAAAAAAAAGGATGTCATGTACGCCAGCAGCTCAGGCGGATGTGTAGTTCTATCTGCCTAACTTCATTCCTTTTAAGTGAGCCCTGTAGCTCACAGTCACTACAATCACATGTCCATTCACACAAACAACTACAATGTTCGAAAGGGACGCTGGACCCGCTTTCGAGCACGTGCTGCTCCCCACCAATAGATGTAGCCTCCCCTGGGAAATGCTAGTGGTGCCTGCTCTTACCAGCATCCCTAGCATCCGTTCGGGTTGTTTCTCAAAAAAAAAAGAAAAAAGAAAAAAAGGAGTACCCATTCCTTTTTTTAATAAACCGAAGCGGAATCATTTCTGAATCAGGGCCTCGTTAGACCCTCCTTGAAAATCCTCAGGAATGTCCAAAGTTATGGTTACACCGCGTCCTAAAAAACAAAAATCCTTGAAAAAATGTGAAAACGCTCCCAAGAGATTTCCTTGGGTCCCTCGGAATCCCCAGCCATTGCGTCCTTGGATTCAAGGGGTCCTCGAGAGGTCCCTTGGGCTCAAGGATCCGCGATAGACGGGCCGTCGTCGAGCGTGCGTCGTGACGGGAAGTTTCAATTTTTGCTGGTGCACATGACGTCCGTGGTCCATCGGGCGGACAATATCGGGTTGCTACTGGCGGGAGGTCACCAACGGCCTTCTGGTGTTACCGTTCGCGCCTACACAGCCGGGGGTCCCGCTTCGGGTGCAACAGACGTCGGAGCGGCGGGGTTCTCCTTGTGCACTTCGTCGGGCGTCGTGTCCAACGGTCGAATATTTCGAAATGTGTTTTATGTGCGGGGTGTGATGTTGTCACCGGCCGCCCCGTTTGTTGCCATTCGCGTGCGCGCGTGAGGGTTGTCCGTTTGGGTGGTCATCTACACGTGGTGCGTTCATGGCAGACATCTTCCGGCGGCTGCCGCTCCTGTTACTAGCATCTCTTCTGCTGCTTCTTCTTGTCTTTTTGCGCGCCTTCGTCGTGACGCGGCCTCCTGGGCGTAGACAGAGACGACAAGTGGATAGGAAGATGACGATGGACAGGCGGGACAGCTCCGTCGGACAACAGAGACGTGTGATGGATTTCTCCATTCCTGATTGGCCCCGGTCCGGCCATCGACCCGCCGCATACGACCCGTCCTTGTACAGTCATCTTCCACTGCACGAACAACCGCTACCGCCGGATCCGGAGGACGCCTGGGTTGAGGATCTGTCGCACACACTTCCTCTGGGGAGTGGATCTACGCAGGAGTGGACGAGCAGGCAGTGCCAGCAGAGGGAAGCAGGGACCACGCGCAAGTCGTTCACCGCATTGTTGGAGGAGGGTGTCGACAACGCCGCCACGGAGCTTGTGGACTTGGATTTCGGATTGTGCAGTGGGAGTGGTGCAAGTGGTCCGATCCACGACGGAGGGGTGGTGGGATCGCCAACGTTGGGAGGAGGATTGTTCCGTGTCGGTGGGCCGACGAATGGGTGTCGTCTACCGGTCCCGAGTTCCATGGGCGTCGGGCCACTTGGCGAGTCGTCAAGGGCAGTGACACCCATCCGCCTGTCGGTGTCTTCGCCTACAATGCGGCAGAGGGCGACCACAAGTGCTGCAATCAATGATGGTACTCCACTTGAAGACATCGGGAGGCAGGCGTGGGAGAACTGCCGCCTACAGATGCGGCGTGCTGCCACGGAGAACATAACCACCGGTGTGTCCAGGCTTCGTGTGGGGAGCGACGTGGATGCGGACAACAGCCGTCGGGCGAGTGGGGACGAGTCTCCGGATTCCCGTTACGAAGAGGACGCAGAAGACGGTGAGGGGCTGGAGATCCGACCCGTGGCTGCGCATGGTGGACGGAGGGGAGGACGCGGACGTCAGTAGAGGGGCGAGTCGCGTGGTGGCCGAGGATCGAGGGCTCCTGTGGGCGACAAGGGTGGCAAGCACCCAACTTGGAGTGTGGAGGAGATGCTGAAGCTCGCTCGAGCGAAGCGGGATCAGCAAGCTCATTTCGAGGGAATGCCACACAACTACGGCCGCATGCGCAACAGGGAGTGGAAGCTGCTGGACCTGCAGAAGCGGCTGGCGGAGGTCGGAGTGGACAGGACAACAGACGACATAGGGAAGAAGTGGGACAACGTCTTCCAGCAGTACAAGAAGGTGCAGCGTTACCATAACATGTTCGGCGGGAAGAACTTCTTCACATTAACTCCTGCAACGAGAGCGGACGAGGGTTTCAACTTCCGAATGGATGAGCGAGTCTTCAATGAGATCGACAACATGTCGAAAAATAACAAGACCATCTACCCGAACAACGTGGCAGGCACGAGTGCACGCGGAGGAGTGCCGCCAGCAATGGATGGTCACCGCCAGGCGGCCGTTGGTGGAGAGTCCTCTGCTGGTGAAGAGGGGGGTGATGGCGTTGACGAAGATGTGGGTTCAGCGTGGGAGATGGGATTCAGTGCAGGGAGCACGGGCACTCCAGCGAAGAGGAAGAACATGCGGCAACAGACCTTCGACGCCATCGCCGAAGTCATGGACAAACACGGTTCATTGATGGCGGACACGGTAGAGGGTGCGAGCAAACGACAGTGTAGCATCCTGGAGCGGCAGTGTGACATCCTCGACCGGGAGGTTGAAGCCCAGAAGCGCCAGTGTGACATACTGGAGAGGCATTACACGRCGTYCGATGAGGCGAACAAGATGATGTGMACGGCGTTGATGGAGATTGCCAGAGCGATAAGGGATAGATCTTGACGCCGGTGGCGTGAGGTTTGTCAAGCCGTTGAAGTGGATTCGCCCGCGATCTGGCCCGTCGCGAAATGTGGTGTCGGTCCTCCGAACGACGACATAAATCTAGAAAACAAGGCCGGGGATGGTGTGCGCGATGGCCGTATACCCTCGTGCGCTTCGAAATGTTGAGTCGCTGTCTCTCCAGGGCAGAGCCGTCCATTCCCCGGACCGCATTATCCCTGGGTATTTGGGGTGGTCTCCCCCCATGCGGAATGGGTAATCGTCGTTGTCGTCGTGTGGAGGGGTGTGTTGCAGGCCGTCTGGGCGGGATCTGTGCGCCGAGGGAGGGGAAATGTCACCGCGAGCACTATAAAGGTCCGCGCGAGTGCTATCTTCTAGCAGTCTTTTGCTTGTCGACTGTGCGCAAGGCCACGCGTGGGGTTCCCGTTGTGCTGCGCGGGGAACTGAACATCGCCCGCGCAAGACGATCCCTGGCGACTTCCTCTCGTGAGCTGCGGTAGTCCATTTTCGTTCACTGGGCGTGCGCATCCGACCGTCAGCGAATGGTGCCACGTGGCCAGCAGAAGGCGAAACGTCCACACGGTGTTTCCGGCGAAGCGAGTGCAGGGCAAACAGGAAGGGGCCACATCCCAAAGTCGAAGAAGCTCCGCGCGGGATACGGGTCGGAAGGAGAGATGGGGGGTGATGGGGGAGAGGAGGAGACGCCTATGGACATCACTTCTAAAGGGACGCCTGTGCTCGGGTTCGAGCGTGACGGTATGAGCAGGCAGCGTATGCTTGCGCTCACCAACCTTGGAGTCCCGACGTCCACGCGCGGCGGAGGTGGCGGGACGGCTCGTGCGCAAGGAGTTTCGTCCGGTGACATTCCGCCGCAGAGGGTCGTGGGTCTGCATCCACCATCGCATCCGTGTTCGAGCGCGACGAAAAAGCTCCGGTAGGTGAGTCTCCATCGCGCCACGTGGAGGCGTCGAACCCGACGATCGTCGCCACTTCGCCGAGGGATGTGCTTCAATCCGCGCAAGCGCCGGGGCATATATCGAGAATAGGCTGGAGGACGATGCCATGGCCGCGCACCAGGAGGCGACTGTGATGCATATTGCGTCATGCTTCCACGACGCGCTCCGGGCCGGGCAGTGGTGGGACGGCGGTAGATTGTCACACCAGAGACTGAGCAGAATCGGGGATGCTTTCCGCCTGCTTCTCGCCGCGTGCATGTGGATCATGCGCATGGGAGGCGACGATGCGCGCTCCTACGGCGAGGCGTCTTACTACGCGCAGCTGGTGGCGAAGCCGACTCTCGTGGCGGCGTGTTCATCGTCCTTCAACTGGCGCCGCTATGTGATGCACTCGGCGAACGTGGTCTTGACTCGCCTGCAGAAGCCACCCTTGACGCTGGGTGCTTTCCCTGACTACATCCCGGAGTGGGCTTCGTGCGGAGTGCGGTACAACTGCAACGCTGGTCTGGCGGACCCCAACGTCGCGGCGAGAGTGGACTGGATGGGGACGGGACCTTTTGAAGCCGATCGGAAGGAGGACGGGACAGATGACGAAACGGGAGCGTAAGTGTCCTCGATATGGCCGTCTTGCGTGAAGAAGGTATCGCCCATGTAGTGAAGCGGTCCGTCATCAAGGTTTCGACATGGCGGAAAATGGAAGTGCCGGATCGGCGGGGGGTGGATTGGATGGGGGGGAGGAGG